CAGTATGGACCTGGCCATCACATCTTAGGCATGAGTGGTGACAGTTTGCTCTGTATCCATGAATATTCATAACCAATAAAAAAATAAAAATAAAAAAATAAAACCCTCCTTGCTGCCGCATTAACTACAGGATAGAATCCATACTGCTTAGCAGAGTGTTCAGGGCCCTTTATAATCTGATAATACTGCTCTTGTCTAGTTTCATCTCTAGCCACCAAACACTGAATTCAGGGTAAATAGAGTTTACTTATGAATTCATGGCAAAATACTCTCAGTTAAAGGCACTGTCAGTATTTCTGTTCTAAGCTTCATAATTCAGGACATTAAATTGTAGAATTTTAACAATGATAGTAACAGTAACTAACATTTTTGGGTGCTGTGTTCTAAATTCATGATGTATTATTTACTCATTTAATCCTGTGATATAAATACTGTTGTTATCCCCATTTTACTGTGAGAAGCATGAAACAGAGAAATTAAGTCTCTTGCTCAAGGTCACATTAAGTAATAAATTGTTAAAGTGGGATTCAAACACAAGGTTCTCCCCTGTGCTGTCTCTGGGCAATACAATATATTGAGCATTCTTGCTGTGTACAATGTCAGTAAAGAACAGGATGCTTTCATAGGAGAATTGAGAAATGGAAGGAAAAATGTAGTGTACAGGGTTGGTGACTGACTGTCGTAAAAAAGAAGTCTGCCTTGGGCTGGTCCCCTTTTCAGTCTCTATGTCCTTAATGCCTAGCAAGCCTTCAGAAGTTTTCTTCTAGTAAATGTTGGTTAATCAGTGATGGAATGGAATGAGAATTGGTGGTGTTTTTTTTTTAAATAACAGGAATGTTCAAGGTCCTTTAAACTTCATATTAGGAATCTTAGTTCTTAGAATTTAGCCTAAATTCAAAAAGAATGTTAAAATTATTCCTGTCTTTTGTCACAACTGTCTTGCACTTCCCCATGAAAGCATCTTTGATTTTGCTAATTATAAAAAATAACAAATCTTTATGTGAAAGATTTATTTAATACAGACATATTCTTAAGAATTAAGTCCTTTTATAATGTCAGGAAATAACTATTGTTAAAAGTTTGGAGTATATTCTTCATACTTGTAAATACATGTATAAATCTATATGTTAAATATAAATGCCATTATTCAGCATGCACATTTTTCTATTCTACATCAGTGCACATAGTTCTTCATCTGTTATGACTACTTAACATTCATTATGTAGATCTGCCATGATTTATTTAATCAATTTTCTGATGATGTACATTTAGGTAGTTAATATTTTTCTATTATATAAAGTGGTACAGTGGACATTTTATACATACATCATTACTTGTCCCATTATTTCCTTGGTATAAATTCTTGGGAATAAAACTGTAGAGGCAAAAATATGTACTTTTTCAATTGTGAATTTTTGTTCATAGCTCTTATGAAATTGAACTGCAAGAAGCTTGCACCAATTTATACTCATGTCAACAATGGAAGGTGTCCATTTTGCCACACTTCCCTAGTATTTTTTATTTTATAAACCTCTCTGCAAATCTGATAGGTAAAAATATTTCATTGTTATATACATTTGTTTGGTTATTAGTGAGTTTGAACATTTTATAACATGAGCGCAGTACCATTTAAAAGGAGCTGATGACTTTTGATTTGCATCTTCTTTTTTGGGATTTTATGGTCTTTTTCTAGATATGAAAATTAGCAATTTTAAGACAAGAAGACAGAAGAATAATTGAGTGTATGGGTATAGAACCTCTCCCCAAATGTGTGTCTTTATCCACATATTACTTTCTTGAAACGGGGGAGAGAATGATTCTTAATAGTTACTAATAAGCAAGAGCTGGTAAATAAGTACCTTGTATTAACTCACTGAAAACAAGTACAAAATAATATTTATTTTCTTCATTTAATGCATGTGCTATTTAAGTATTTCTCAATCTTTTTTTTATTATCACTCCCCTAAACATCTTTAGACATTTTCCCCCTAATTTCCCTCCCACCCCCATGATATTTTGATATCGTAGGTACACTGTATATCTATTTATGTACAGTGGCCATTTGGAGAGCCGCAAACCATTATAACATCTAAGATTTTATTGGCCATTTGGAGAATCAATTTTTGCCCCCTTTGGGGTAATACTGCTCCCATTGAGAATGCGTGATCTGTGTATATGTGTGTGTATTGATAGTTGGGAGAGGAGGAGAAAAAGCATTGCTTTGCATGAGTGGTTACTTTGGTTTCCTGGGGCTCAGAGAAGAAATCAGTGTTTCTGTTACTTTGTCAGATTGTCCAGAAAGGAACGTTAGGTTTAATAATTGCCACCATTACTTCACCAGTCTATTATCAAACTCTAAACATAGTGCCTTGGAGTGCTAAGTTACCTAGAACATTCTAGGTACAATATTTTCACTCTTGAGAATGTTAATATGCCATGGGCATACTGACATTATTGTAGTTGAAGGCATTTTGTTTGAATTTAGGTAATAGTACACCCATTGCATTAAGAGTAATTATAAATGTTCCAACTTCTATTCCAGTGGTTCTCATACTGGTGATTTTGTCTCCTGGGGGACATTTGCAATGTCTGGAAGCAGTTTTTACTGTCACAACTGGTGGTGTGGGTGTTTATAGTGGCATCTAGTTGGTAGAGTCCTGGGATGCTGCTGCTAAACATCCTACAATGCACACAGGACAGCCCCCCCTTTAACAAAGATTTTCTGGTTCAGAATGCCGGCACTGCCGAAGTTGAGAGACCCCACTCTTTCCTAATGACTGTACTTCTTGGAATCTATCTTTAGAAAATAATCCAAGTAATCCAAGTAGTGTTGCTGGGATTTTAGTGTATGTGTATTTTTTTTTAAGTGGGATATATATCTGTATAATTATGAAAAATGGGAAACAAACTTAATTCTTTGAATCTTAGAATTGATTGCCCATGTCAGGATTTACATGAATTTCAGGAACACTGAAGAATTGGAAGCTACTTTAGAGATAATTAACTCACCCATTTCAGCAGTTCTTTATACAATACCCTTCAATTTCTCTTTGCACACCTTAGATCAAGGTATGGTATAAAAGGTCATCAACCATATCAGTAACTTTTTTATTTCTCAGAAGAAAAAAAGCATCTCAAAAAGCATCTCAGTATGTAAGTGGGTTAAATTTGAGTGTGGGTGCCTTGTGTGTTCTTTATATTATTCACTTTTTCTTTGTTTTTGAGATATCGCAAGATCACATTTTAAAAGTAAATGTACTTTTCAAATTTTTTCATGTTTGAAGTGAGGATAAATATAGGAAGATTTTTGTAATTGTCATATTCTCATAATGTGTATATACTAAAATTGTAATGAATGACTTCATTATAGCCACAAGTAGTTAACTACAGCAAATACAGTGATTTCCAAGGGCTTTTCTCTCTTTGTGTTGGAATGTTAAGTACTTTCGGAAGGTTTTTAGGGTTTACTGAATATTAAAAAAGGTGACTGGTTCTTAAAATTGCTCAAGCAATGATTGAGGTGATTGAGTATGATTTACAATTCTATAAGATGACAAGTTGGTGATCGTTCCCCCCCCTCAAGCTAACATGGAAAAACAAATACATTTAAAAGGAAAGCATATTATGCTTTAAGGTTGGCAAAAATCCGTTTATTTCTTGCTAAGAGAGAAATGATAGTTTCTCTCTTATAGCAAGATAGTGAGTGATGTTATGCTATGCCCGTTTCACAAATAATGAAAATCACAAGGTGTATCATTTTGGAGGAATTATTTATTTAAAACTAGTAACTGTTGCATTTGCATTCAAATTTTTAAGTTTTATTCTCAGATTTTAGACATCTGGCCTTTAGATTAGTAAAGGATGCTTTTTGACTTTGTTCTGTCAAAAAAAAAATTAAACTTAACGTGATTGTTTCTTGTATAATAAGTGGCAGTATTATAGAGAAATAAGAGAAAAACATGCTCTAGCTTGTGCCAAAAACTGTCTTGTTATTATATAAAACTGCCATATACAGATCTGTCATAACTTACCCCCTAAGGAAGGATTTTACTTAGGTTTATAGTCATTGTCTTCTGGCAAAAATTTGACTAAATCATATAAATTGTTTGTGGAAGATACTCTACTAGATTATATTAAAAAAACTTTTAGATTTTCGGGCTTTACTGGTAAGGGGTAGGTTTCAAGGAGATTTCAGGGTCATTGCTTGGAGGAGATGCTGCCAGCTGTTAACTTATCAATGGGTCATTAGAAATTTCTTCTAAGTAAGAAAAATATTGTGAAAAACCATCGTGTAGTGAAGATATTTAAATTTCTGTAATGGATTCAATATTTTGAGCATTAATTTTTTTTAAAAAAAGGAATGGTATCTTGTGTTCCTAAATTTAGATATGTTAAATATGACACATGGTCATTTTTCTAAAATCAGGCAATTGAATAATTACTGTCGATTCTATATCAAACCAAAGTTTAGATCTGAAAGGAAAGGGTCTGTAGCTCAAAGTGCGTTCTGCTTAGCAACCAGCTTGTTGTCCACTGTTTTGCTACTGAATGCACGTACTCATGTCTCAGAAGTGTATCTGCAGCCAGCTGGACTCAATCAGACAATACTTCATTCACCTAATTTCCAGACTAGTCAGGCAAAGACCTCAGCTCATTGTATTTGGTCATGAGGAAATTTATTTGTAAACTTCAAGTAGTGGCACACTGATCTCAAAATCCCCTGAAGTATGAGAAATTGCCTTCTAATTCAGGAATGTGAAGTCCTTGGAATTCAGAACTGCTTCACTTGATTTTTTTCTTCTCTTAACAATCCTTACAAGTATATTATTTCAAAAACATAGTTTCTAAAATCCTAGAAAAGAGAAAATAGCTCTTAATAGAAAAGATGTTAAATTCTAAGAATAATTTAGATTATCTTAAAATGAAAATTCAGAAAGTTTACTTTGCTCTTAAACTTCTATTGTCTGCCTTGATCCTCACGTGATTATTTTCCCTTTCAGAAAACAGCAGTTTTGTTGGCATGTGAAGCTCAAGTTTCCTCAAAGTCAAGCTGAGTACATAGAAAGAAGGTATAGTATCACCACTGTCTGTTAAGAACTGATTTGCTTTTATTTTAAGGCTCTGTATTTAAAATAAACAGTTAACTAAATGTACGTCAGTAGTAAAAGGAATAAGTTGTGATATATTCATTCAATGAAATGCTAAACACGATTGAAAATGAATGAAACTATCACATCAGCATGGATGAATCTCAGAAGTAATATTAAGTGAGAAAAGCAAGTTAAAGAAGAATGCATAAAATATGATTATAAATATGAAAAAAAAGAAAAACCCATGAAAACTAGAAAACAAAATAGTGTACTTTTTAGGAATACCTCCAGAGGTTAGGTAGAACTGTAAGGGAAATGTTTAACACAGAAGTCATGATGGTGGTTAATTCAGCAGGGGGATCAGGTATAAGGAGAGGGAGGGATACAAGGAGAATCTAGAGGGCTGAAAAATTTCTGTTTCTTAAGCTAGGTGGTTGTATAGGAAGTAAAAAAATGGCTGAAAATTCTCCTATGCAAAAGTTACCAGTATTAACTTATAGCGGATCCCTCAGAAAAGACATTTTAGACATGTTTGCAAATGCTCCTTGGCTGTGTCTTGATAAACCCATCATAAGTTGAAAATGCATTTAATACCCAAATAAACCCGTCATAAAGTTGAAAAATCTTTAGTAAGTCAGGGACCATCTATATATGTATATTTATCACTGGAATTAATTTGCATAGTTTGCTGTCCTATTTTCATATTATGAACATTTTCAAGTGTCATTTAAAAATTTTAATGGTTGTGTACTATTTGATTTGGGGGGATTGGGAAAATTTTAAAGTTGCTGTTTAAGTAGTATATTAGAATATATCCACATTATACATGAGTGTCCAGTCTTTGTGGTTGTCACATGAATTTTAGTGATGAACTTTATTTGAAGTTACATACCAGACTAAAGGCAGGGAAAGGGCTTTTTACAGATAAAGGTATGTAGCCAAAAGTATATATAAATATGTATAAATGTAAAAGTTACTGTTTCAATATATTGTGTTAATTCTGTTTTACAGCTTTATATATAAAGTTTAAAACAATGTGTATATATATACTGGAATGCTGAAAAACTTAGAATGCTTTGTTTCCAAGGAAACTATTATCAGTTTTTAAACCTAGTCATATGATTTAGAATGAATAAACTTGACGTGCACTGAAATTAAGCACCATCTGAAACCTTTTTACAGATTTATTTCTACAATTTTCAAATATATTTCCTCCTGACTTCATTCTTTTCATGTTTGACACAGGTGTGTTTAAAGAGGTTTCATATTTTTATAACTGATTTATAAGGAGCTTCTCAAAATGTTGTTTTTTAAGACCTTGTTAAGTGTGTCCAAGAAGTTTTTTTGAGCTTTTTCCCTAAGTAATTTTTGCGTAAAAGGATGTTATATTTTCCAAGATTAAAATAAAAGGTCTTTGCTCAGTTATCTAAACAAAGATACCACAACATTTGGTAACTAAGTTAACACCTTCAGTAGAAAGTTATAAATAGTAATATAGATGTTCTTTTTTCTTTGTTGGAAAGAGTACCAGATGATAAAATTATTAATGAAATCTTAAAACCTTACATTGATCCTGAAAAGTCTGATCCTGTAATTCGTCAAAGGTATGCTTCAAAAATCTTGTAATTTTCTGAAATAATTAAAAATGTTGAAGTACTTGTTAGGTGCATATTTATTACGTAAAGCCATGACTTTATTAGAATGTGATGTGTTGGTGCAATTTACTTATATCCAATTTCCTTGCTGTTTACTGAATGTCAATTTGTAAGTAACAACAGTAGTTAAAACTCACTGTTTACTGTGTTCCAGACTCTCTTTGAAGCAGATAGTAATAAATGTATTAATTCATTTAATCTTAATAACTGTGTAAGGTAGATTCCTGTTATTACGCCTGTTTTACAGATGGGGAAACTGAGCCTTAAAGTGGTGAAGTAACTTCATATAGCTAATAAGCAGGGAAGCTAGGATTCAAACATAGGCAGTCTAGAGTTAAAGTCTGCACTCTTAACCCTTAAACTAAACTGCCTTTCAAGTTGAACCAAAAATCTTAAATTAAGAGTTTCCAAGTAACTGTTAAAAGACAGGAAATCCTCTTTCAGCCAAGTCTTCATAGAATTAGGTAAGGTACACTCTGCCTCCCATCCAGAAAAACAGCATGGACAAAAGTGGTTAACATAGCATAGTGGAAAGAGTCAGTCATGTACATCTGGGTTAGAATAGCTGGCTCTGTCCCTTATTAGCTGTGTGATCAGGAGCAAGTTACCTAACGTCTGCACCTTAATTTTTCCATCAGTGAAATGAGAGTGATAGTACCTACTAGATAGGGTTATGAAGTTTAAAAGAAATAGTGTATATGAAGTTGCTAGTATAGGGTCTAGCATACAGTAGGCGGTGCTCAAAAGAGGAAACTATTATTATAGAGTGCGAGTTATTAGTGCTCCTGGTCAGGAACCTAGTTGACTTTATTTTCACCAGATGGTACTTGCTTGGAATATGAATGCTTGGTTTAGTTGCAGAGTAACCTGGTGTTTAAAATTTAGACTAGGTGTATTCTAAAATGTCTGATCCAGTTCTAGTTAAATCTCATTCTTCTGCTTTTGGTAAACGGTAGTGCTTAGACTAATCCAGACCCATTTCATATGTCAAAGCAATGTCTTTGGGACAGCTTGATAACTGAGTTTCTTTCCTTCTTATAACTGTTAATCTAGTTGTTATTGTTACCCATATACTTGGCAGTAAGACAAAATATGTCACTGAATTGGATACGTTTTTAAAAAATAAATGTATAAAAGAGCCAAATTAATTAAACATTTTAATTTAAAATGTTTAATTGAATGGAGAGAAGACAGGTATTTTTTTTCAGATTCTTGGTTACAAAACATCTTTACCTCCTTTTCTGTGCTTGGATAGATGAATTTTAATTATTATTAGCTGCTCATAAATGCTGAGTCTTCATAACAGTATCCTGAAATATACTAAAAATCAATTTTGCTTCCTTCAATACAGTGTTTTTGTTTCAGGTTGAAAGCCTACATTTGCTCTCAGACTGGGGTTCAAATTTTAATGAAGGTCGAATATATGCAGCAAAATTTAGTAAGGTAAAATTGCTTCCTTCTCTGTTTCTTTAAATATTTTCTAATTCCGTAATATAATTAAGTAGCTTGATTGGCTGAAGTCGTTATTATACTAATTATCTGGCTATCAAAAAAACCTAGATTATAAAATAACTTTCAAATTAAAATTCTAAAATAATCATATTTATTATAAGATAAATTTGGTTGAAAAATTACCCTGGCTGGAATATTTTAAAACATCACCATGTACAATTAAGATTTCTAAACCCCATCTTATTTCAAGAAATATTTTATATGACACAGTTCCAGTGTTCAAATTTATACCTTCATAAATACAAGAATTCATATAATCAACTGCCCATTGCATATATTGTAGTGGAAAGAACACTGCATAGAAATGTGAAGAGAGCTAGGTTCTAACAACCCATATGATTGGAGAAAGTTCTTAACATCCCTGAGCTTTGTTCCTTCAGTTAACAGAATGATGAATTAGACTGCTCTAGATGATCTTTCAGTGTCCCCACAAAGTCTGGTTAAGTGCCAGTTGTGTGTCAGCATACTGAATTGCAAAACACCTATCTTTAAAGAACTGTTATGGTTTTCTCTTCTTTTCTGTGGTTTAGTTAACAAAAGTACTAGATCCAATTCAGACTGGTTCTGGTCGGTCTCTTCTATGATTGATTTGGTAGTATAGCTTAGAAGTTTAAGAGCCCAACCTGTGAAGTGCATCTCTCTTCTACTGTGCTGAAATTATGGTTTTAAATGTGTATATGAAAACTTATTGAAAACCAGCTTTGGAAAAATGTTCCAGAAACATCAGTATAAAACATATGTAAAAGAAAATGATATATTATTTGTAGTTCAGAATTTAGTTTAATTCACTTATATGAAGCAGGTGGAGGTACATCTTTCATCAACCTTGCAGAAATTTAAGTTTTAAGTGCATGTGTGAAAACTCATTTTTTAACTTCATTAAAGAACTGATATAAAACAATTGTGAAAAACAATGATACATCATTCCGAATTCAAAATTTAGTTTTATTCATTGCAATAAAGCACCTGAAAGAGTTAAAATAAAATAAAATAAAAAAATCCAAGCTGCAAATGCAAAGCTGGATTTGAATCCTAGCTCTGCCTGCTTCTAATTATGTTAACTTAAGTAAATTACATAGCCTGTCTTGCCTTAGTTTCCTATGGGATGATAATAATAACTATAAGATGAAGATAATTCATTTAGCACATGTTAAGTGCATGCTTTTATTACTATTATTACGACTGCTATTACTATTATTATTATTATCACTGTAATTCCTACTACTATTACCGATAAATGTATTCTTACAAAAGATCTACACATAAGATTTTAAGACTTTATTGCTAAGAAGGGATCTTAAATACTAAATCTTGACTTATTTTCTTACCAAATACTCCCAACTTTATATCATTGATCATGGTTCAGTGATGAAAAATTCAGGTTTTCTGTGATAGTCCTTTTCCTAGACTTCTCAGTTCAGTATGCTTACATGCATTTCTTGCTTTAACTCCCCTCCTTCTCCTGAAAGATTTGGGGTCCCAAATGGGAGGAGGATAGAAATCTCTGTAGTTTCTACAAAGATAGTTGTCCAGAGTTACAACATCCATGTTTTGTTGTGCATTTCTTGCTTTAACTCCCCTCCTTCTCCTGAAAGATTTGGGGTCCCAAATGGGAGGAGTATAGAAATCTCTGTAGTTTCTACAAAGATAGTTGTCCAGAGTTACAACATCCATGTTTTGTTGTTTTGTTTTTGCCAAGACTTTAAAAATTTTTTTAATTTATATTTTTCATTGTACATGTTTGTGGGGTACAGTTGGTTGTTTCACTTCATGCATGTGTTGTATAAGGATCTAATCAGAATAGTTAGCATATCTATCACTTAAACATTTACATTTCTTTGTGGTTATAAATTCAAGATCATCGTTTGTGGCTATCTTGAAGTATACAATGCAATATTATTAGCTATTGTCACCCTAAAGTACTAGAACTTACATACAATGCAATATACAATGAATATTATTGTATATACAATGAAATATACAATGCAATATTATTAGCTATTGTCACCCTAGAGTACCAGAACTTACTCTTCCTATCTAACTGTACCTTTTAAACTTTTTTTTTTATAATTGAAACATAATTCAGTGTACATATCTGTGGGGTACAGCATACAACATCCATGTTAACCAAACTCAATAGTTCTGGAATTGGGACTCAAACATTTAATGTAATTAGTAAGAAATGCCGATATAAAAAGTGATGTTCTTTCAGTTTTGTTTAGTAAAATCCTAAAATGAAGTCCATATAATTTATGTTTAAACAAAACAGTTTGCATCATTCCCTTGGAACTTAACTATGGTCAATCATTAATTCTTTTATTATCTGTGTTTCCTCTTACAAATTCAGTTCCTGTTCTTTCAGTTTTGTTTAGTAAAATCCTAAAATGAAGTCCATATAATTTATGTTTAAACAAAACAGTTTGCATCATTCCCTTGGACCTTAACTATGGTCAATCATTAATTCTTTTATTATCTGTGTTTCCTCTTACAAATTCAGTTCCTTTCCTGACATGCACCATATTTTATCTAATCAGTAGTTCATGTAAATATTATTCATGTTTTATACTATGGTGCACACTTGATGGGTATACTATGGCTTCAGTCTCATAAGCCTACTAAGAGAATATCTCTGAGGGCCTTTATGAAAAGTTAAATACTTTTTAGGATAGTTGTCTCATCTCATCTTCTCCTGACAACGTGGTGACAGTCTCTGTTCAACCATTTCTAGCACTTCTATACCACTCTGAGCATTTGCCGACTCCTTGTCATAGACTGCTAGTGTGGGGGCAACTTATAATTGGCTCCAGAATAAATGTGGAAGGGAAACAGTAAAAGTGTTATCCATTTGGTTCTGAAAATTCTTATTAAGTGCAGTAGGGAGAATAAAACTAAATGCTGCCTCACCATTTCCTTTGTATTTACTTATCTGACCTTGAAATTTTATAAATAGTAGTCATTAGCTACTATTTTAATAGATACATGAGTGGGATTTTTTATTTAAATTTTTTAAATTAATAGGGGTGTATTTGAAGTACCAGATTGCTTTTATAGAATTAAATTAAAATATCTGTTTTGGTGAGTTTTGGCATCAGCTTGACCATGGTTACCTATTTACCTATTCTGTTAGCCAGATAATTAAACTTCTTCACTACTGCTTAGGAAGGCAATTTATATCATTTTGGTACAACTTCTAAGAACGAAAGATTTGTCTTTTTCTTGTGTGGGTTTTTTTTTGGGCTTGTTTTGTTGATTTATTTTGGTTTGTTTGTTTCTTTGTTGTTTCCATTTTTATTTCCTTCCTTACCTGAAAGGGACATTTTGTTATATTTCCATTTTAAGTCAAGGCAACTTGGGGTGTGTCTAATGAAGAAATGCGCCACATCAGTAAGCCAGTCAAACTTGACTCTTCGGCCAAATATCCTCTTCTTCCACAATCAGGAAAATCAGAATTGTGTGTGATAAAAGATAGATATAGAATTGTGAGTATTTTAAAGTTTATAATATATAGGACAGACTCCTTGGGCCCAGACAGCATTTATTTTTAACTTAGGAATGTGTATTATAAATCCTTGAAGAGGTAAAGGGAATAGAAATCTCAGCTTGTTCTAGCAGATCTAGATTTTCTAGAATTGTGACAGAAATGTCTATGACATGACCCAAAGGGGAACATTGAGGAAATAGCTTTCATGCAGCTGCATAGAAAGAAATCAGGATACCTAGAGACCAGAACTCAGGAAGATACCAGTCAAATTGTTAAGACTTATTTTAATAAAGAGCCAATAGGGGTAAACCTTTACCCCAAAAATGTCAGACAAGTACACTGAAATGAAAGTCAGATGACCTAGTTCTAGGCATTCAAGTTTTCTGTGCTTCATTATCCTTTAAGGTCCTTTACTGTCTCTAATATTATAACAGTCTATCTTTAGTATCCCAAAGAGCACCAAAGTTGGGCCTTGGGTTAACCTTTTAATCCCCAAAGGGAAAGGAATGGTAGATTAGTAAAGTAAAAGCTAAGTGATGTTGACTGTAAGGAATACCTAGCATGGACTGTTTTGATACCAAAACTGAGCCAGACTTAGTAACATGAAAAGTACTTTGATTCTACCTTATCTGTGTAAAAAGCTTGTCTTCCACATTTCATCATTTAAGGTGTTTACTTGAGCTAAATAATATATGGGAATACCACCAAAGCAGAGGAAAGAAAAAAAGGTTATGACCCAGGGCAAGATTTAAGAATTGCAACCCTATTTAATTTTGAGTACTGATGGCATCACTTGAAGGCAATTGTAATGTCAGAAATTCCAATTGAGGTAGCTTTTATCCTGAAGGTAGACTTAAACGGGTAGAGTACATCCTTATATTTCTGATTATTATTTCAGGCCTCAAGACATAGTCATCCTAATTTCTAAAGAAATTAGGTTCTTAATAACCTCCCAATTTTATAAGTATTTTCTAATCATAAATAAAATTAGATTCTGTGGAGGTATATATTTTAGACATAGATTTTTTTTGTTTTAATCAGGAAGCTTTTAAACCACAGTGTTTTCCATATAATACATTCATGGATAGGCTAAGATGAACATTTACATTTGATTATATACATAATTACAAGTTATATCATTAAAGGAAAGTACATTCAGAGAACATCGAAGGAAGATTATTATAGGTTATAAAATGTTACACTCTAATTTAAGAAAAGCATGCTATGTAGGAGGATTTTGTTATTTCCTCAAAAGTGCTTGGAAGGCAGAAACGTGTAGTTTTCTTTGTGGCTATTTGATTTTCAATGTATCCTACGATTTACGGCATTCCATTAACTTCAGAATAGTCTTTTTACCAAATACTTGATGTTGCCAATGTCCATTGGTTTTGTTTTCCGTTCTTGGAGGGTTTATGGCAGTTGTATCATGATATAGCTGATCAGCTAGAGC